AAGGTGAAAAACCGGACCGTCAAAAATTTTTTGAAAGTAAATTATTAATAAAATAATTTTCTGATGAAAACAAAGTATTTTTAGAGTTTTGATAGCCATCCTTATCATATTTTTGGAGAAAGGAATATGTTTTTTCTGGACCTCAACAAATATCTTCGAAAACATCCGCATCCCACCTAAGATTACCTGCTTTATAATTTATTTCAAAGGATAAAAAACACGCTAAAGCATAAGTAACACCCTCAAAAGACTTGCTCTATTAATCGCGTAGCCTAATCCAACATGGGTTTAGATGAACCGTCTTCACATATTGATGCTTAATTTGACATTAAAAAGATGTCTTTTTTTAGTTTGTTTAGCCAACAAAAATACTAGTTTGCAAGAAAAGAATAAGTGGGGAAAGAGCGAATATAAAAGTAGGAGACGAAAGTTTAGAAGAAGTAACTGATTTTAGGTATCTAGGAAGTCAGATAATAGGGACTATAAAGAAGAGGATATCTCAGGGTCGAGTCGCCTTCAAAAAAAGAAGTCACTTCTATGTTTGCGAACGATTGAATTAGAAATTCGAAAAAGATTAAAGGTGTTTTTTGAAGTGCGGTGCTGTACGGATGCGAAACATGGTCGCTGGGTGCAGCCGAAAAGAAAAGGTTAGAAGCATTCGAAATATGATGTTACCGGCAAATTATGAAGGTAACGTGGATAGAAAAGGTTAGAAATGAAGACAATAAAATGAATAGGAGAACAGAGGACTCTATGGAAGTCAACAAAAAATTGGCGAGATAGGTTAGTAGGACACCTTCTTAGACATGAAGGTCTAGTCTAGGGTTGCCACCTTTTCAGGCTTTACATAAAGTATTTCTCGACTAAAAGGTTAAAAAAAAAGTACTCAGCATAAAAATAAAGTATTTTATTTTTTGTTTTTAAAAACATATTTTTTGTTACACCTAGCAGCCAGTAACAAATTGCTGTCGCTCTTAAATATATTAATAGCCTCTAAACATGGCAAACAAAGATTTAAGTAAACTAAAAGTTCATTTTTAATTAGTTTTAATGAAGCTTTATTCCTGTCGTCCCGCCACTTTGCGTTCATAACAGAGAATACTCTTTCTGTAAATGCTGAAGTGGCCGGAACGGACAGCAAAAGTGACACTACTTTGAACAGATTCGGGAAATCAGGTTGTTCCGTAAATATGGCTTGCCATTTTTCTGTGCAATATTATTGATGTAAAAATACTCTGAATTTCGAATATTCGCTTTCAAAATTACGATGTTTACTTAAGGCCTTAAATAAAGCATTTTTGCGTACTTTATGTGTCTTGTAAAGTATAACGTACGCACAGTCGAAATAGAGTACAATACTTTATAATAAAGTACGGGTGGCAACCCTAGTCTAGTCAGAGACACATTAGAGGCAGAAACAGGAGTTAAGAGGAGTAGAGGTAGACTTCGAGTTTTACGGAAATGCGAAGATTAGCTCAGGATAGGAAGGAGTGGAGGTGTGTGTCCAGTCACTTTTAGGACTGACGACCTGCGATAATGATAGCCATTGCATTCCGCTATTTGGTTGTTATTACTTGGCTACCTTTTACGTATTCGTCACTCATTCAGTAGCCGGTTAAGAACATTTCCCCTGGGAAAAACTCCGCGACTCAAAACACCTTTAACTCTGCACGGTACATTTTCAGTATTATACGCGGGTAATATCGGCTGTCGTTTTGTCGTCCGTTTCAAGTCCGAAGAACAATGGCACATTATTGAAGGTGTACAAGTGCTCAACGTACAGCAAGCAGTAACACAACACAACAACGGTGAGTGTTCGGTGCACACAGGTGTCACACTGCGGCCCGCCGTTGCGGCAATACATCAACACACAATGGTGAATAAAATAAATCAACCGACGTAGGAATGAGAGAGACAGAGATGTAGAGTGAGTGAATGAGTTGAGTGTGCGGCTTTGATAACTGACACCTGTTGTAAACTTAACACAGTGTACACAGGAAGTCATATAGTGTTGGTAAACGAAACGAAATAATATCACGATAATTTTGTGCATTGCCTTTATACTTCAAACACGATTATTAATGGGAACTTTAAACACAAAGGCGCTCAAGAACGGACACGCACACACAGACACACACAGACAGAGGAGAGAGACGTACGTATGCGGTCCGTATAGGGGCTTGTTTGCATGTTAATAATCCGGATAAAAGCCAAAAAGTAACCGATGCGGCGCTAGCGATGTGAAAAGCTAGCGCTACATGGTCCCATAGCGCGCTCAAAGTTGTACACGTAATGTATGCTCACTTGTATGTGCCTGATACGTAACAACAACGCCTGATAGACATCTAGAAATATGTGTCCTGTTCTGTTATTTATTGCAACCCGTAAAACTCTAATTAGACTTTCGTATGTTACGTTTGCCTAAAAGAGAATCAAGAAAATATTAAGGAAGTATGTAATGTAAGGTAATATAATAGTAAATTTAATGGCCTACAGTGCACTTCACGTTTATGCCACAATTTGGGTCCAAGAAGACCCTGTATATTAGATATCTTGTACTCCTGAAATAAAAAATCTGTAGAATTTGTTCAGGAAAATGATTCCCGAAGATACAAATGTAATGAAATACAGTGGAACCTTGATAACTTAAACTTTTTTAAAATAAAAACCCTGGGATCGAAAGAGGAGGAAGGAAGTTATGGGGGTTGAAGGTTGATTATTTTGACAATTTTCACACACTATAATTCAAATAAAATCCAATAAAAAAATATTTTCAAGCGGGTAGAGGTGGGGGATCGAAAGAGGGTGGTCACTTAAACAAAACCCGATAACCTAACCTAACCTACCCTATTGATAAAGATATTTAAATAATGTTTATTATAACTTTCTCAATATTTCTATGTATTTTTCATTAGTTTTACCTTTGAATATTGTTTAAGAATGACTATGTAAATATTTACATGCCTAGAAATATATAAAAATTGGCATCTTTATTAACTTTGAACTCCTATAACTTTTTATGGGGATGAGACCGCCACGAACTTTTTATGGTACAGTGGTGGGGGAGACCTCCTCTTTCGACCACCCCACTCCCACCCCAAGGTGGTGGGGGCCATCATCTAGACCTTTACCTTAAATTTTAATAATAGATTATTTCCTATAGTTTTCTTTGGCACATTGATTACTCAGGTTAGTTTATTTCTTTATTTCATATAAGGCCATGTGTCACCTCGGCGACCAGGTATCAAATTCTTAAGATAAACTTTTAATATAGCCTAAAATGACTCATTAATATTTCGTTCTTTCATACACTTACATTGTTACCATAGTTTATGTAAACGAAAAAAAAGTTGCAGTTAAATTGTGTATTCGATGTCTGCCCTTTTGTCTACTGTTACATACTTGAGTTAATTTTTATTCGCCATTACATGTTCATCATCAGATTTTCTTTNCCTTGATAACTTAAACCTCGATAACGTAATAACCTCTATAAATTCATAAAATTTTGTGTTCCCTTCCCCTCGGAGTCCAAAACCTCTATTACTTAAAATAAAAACCCTCTATAACTTAAACGAATAATTTGGGCATCGCACCTCAGTAAGTAGTGAAAAATGGTTTGAATCGGGAGAAAGTCTTCTATGTAAAAGACATAGAATTGCTGAATTTCCTAATTTAGAAAAATGCTTGTTTACTAGGTTTAGACAGTATAGAAATATGTATAATCCATAATTTTAAAGCTTAAACTGAAACTTGATCATTATATTATCGAGGTTCTACTGTAGTAAAAGGAGATTTTTACGGAACGTTTCAATCGTAACTGTTCCGGAATCATGTGATTTCGGAACGAACGAACGAACAGGTCGAATGAAGTTATGCGTAATCATAGCATACGGTAGCCTTTGTGGTATATGATAAGCGAATACACAACCACCAAGAGTATAATAATCTCACAATCTCCACTTTTTTGCACGGTGCTTTGATGGTTCAGTGTTCCGTACGTTCTCTTTTTACATTATTGTTTGTGTTACCACGGATCACTAGTCGTATGTGGTCACTTGTAAATTCTTAAAGGTTATGCTGTATTTATAAATAAGTTTCATTCCGTTTTACGAAGAACGCTGCGGAATGTGACAACAAAAATAACGTTTTAGAATCCGATAATTGAAATATTAACTACGATGTGTGTCTACAAAAATCAAAGGTTTTCGAAAGAAGGGAGTGCTTGTTTTGTATTCCAAGAATCCAAGGATTTCACTCGTTGTTCATTTTACTATATTAGCTAAAGAAACACACATATAGCATAAGTATTTGTTGTGGTGAAATCTCTCTTCAGAAAACAATTAATTAGTTGCTAATGGACAGGTATCACGTGATGATTTATGTATCCTTCGAGGAAATTTTAAAAGCATCCGTCTCTGCCTACATATTCTGGTGACTTATTTAATAACATTTAATGTTTAAACCATAGAAAGAGGAGGTAACAACTATGCGCCTTTCTAATCATCAGTTCAATTTGCATACGTGAATAATTATTTTGAATGGTTCTTTTAAATTAGTACATAGCAAAGCCAGTTCCGCTTCTTCACGTGAAATTCTGATTGAAATATGTATTATAATACGACGAACGAAAGAATAAATAATTTATGGAAAAATTCGATTTGATAAACGGTTAGCAGATGTGTGTCTACAAAAAATATGAGATGCAGTATGTCACGGTTCTCTTATTAATGGTATTTTTAAACACATAAGTTCTATTGATTGCATTCTCCTTATTTAAATTATAAATCCACGGTAGAGATCTGCATTTATAATTATGTTTTCGATAATTAACAACATGTTGCACACGTTCAATTCCAATGACAGTTTTAAATTTACCGAGTCTGACATTCAACATTAATATTTGGCTTGAACTATTTGTAGCTGAGATCATAATTTGTAGTAAAAAAATAATAAAAATCAGGTACTTAGGTAATAAATAAATAAAACTAAAAGAGACTCACCCTAAAGGTTGGAATCGGGCGGACGGCACGAACTGTACTTCACCTAAAACCACATACATTATACCTAAGAATCAACTCACATATTATTAGTGACAATCGTTTATAAAAGGCTCAAAAAATGATAAATCTGCTTGAAATAGTAAATAAAATCTAAAAATTAATCTGCATTTTTATTAGTTATTTAAAAATCTTATGTCTATTGTAGTTGGAGCATTTCTAAACATGGTACAGTTAATAATAGACCCTGTTTTATAGGAGTCAGTTGTTTTTAATTGTTCATACATACATTGTTGCAATTTTTTCCATCTTTAATTCAAATCATTTATTTTCCGATTGTCTACTTTGTTATTTACACCATAATATCTTTATAGTTATAGGTTATAATTATTAAAAATGTACTTAAAGTTCATTGATATAACAGTAGCGACCTTTGCTGATGTATTTTCTTTCATGCAAAAACGCTGTTAATATGCCTTGAAAAATTATTCGTAGCTAATTTACATAGATAAACAATTTGTCTGATCATTGTTTATAAATTCATTGATTTGGAAAAGCTCACAGAATTTAACCGCGAAGTAAGTAAATGTTAATCTGGAGATCGCTGCGAAGCCAAAATTGAAAGAAAGTTAAGCTATAAAACTAGAAAAAAGAAAAATACAGTAGATAGCTCAATTTTTTAGTTGAATGATCTGTTTATTTTGCGTAAGAATTATTATACTTTTCATTCAACTGCTTTATCAGTTTCTGCTTCAAGAGAATTGAAATCATCGAAAACTCTAAGGGGCAAAAAAGAATAAGCTTAAAAAAAAGTAAAATTCATTTTATTTAAGCAATTCGAACAACATTTTAATGCAATATTTTCGCATTGTCGTCAAAGAAAGTATTGAAAAGTAGCTGAAAAATCGACTGAAAAGTGAATAAAAATAAAGCTGTACCTCTCTGAAGAAGTAAAGGTAGGAGGAAGCTTGAAAGATGTTTGTTTAGCACAGTACATTAAGGGCGGAATAGGACGGGGTAGAAATAAGTCGTTTTCGTACATAAGTAACAAAACTATAGTCGTAAAAGTTTATATCAACAGAATAAGAAAAACTATTTATAAATCTAAACAAGATTTGTCGTTTGATTGACATTTGATACGATCTATAACGAAAAGGTTTTACTGAGTTGATACCGTAGAACAGAAAAGTTGATGAAGGCGTTGGGAACAATTGCTAGTAAAGAGTAAAATTAATAAAAGACTTGCTCCAGCAACTATGAAAGGAAAATAGTTTACGACAATATAATCAGTGGCGCAACTACAAAAGCGCTGTGTCATATAATTTTATCAGGGAGGAAGGGGACCAAAAACTAAAAATGTTGAACTACTACAGAACATTTCAGAAGACCGCTTACAGACAATTTCTCTGTCCTGCCCAATTAAACTACCTGAGGTTAATAAGGGAAAATTTGTTACTGGTGTTACACCCTCGTCGGGAATCGAAACCAATGCTCACCAAGGATGTGACAATAGCACCAAATTTTCCCTCACGATCCTGAGGTAGTTCTAGTGGGTAAAAAATTGAAAACCAATTCCATTAAGATTACTAAAAACTATCGAAAAACATTTTATAGGGTTGTTCGGAAAGTCATTTCGTTTTTTCCCGACAGAGGATTTAATTGTATTGTTTTGCACCCAACTTCACATTTAAGCCGTATAATTTTTATATGCTTTGAGAGCTCATATAGCAAGGCTTGTGTGTGAAAAATTCCAATTAATTCTACGCAGTAGTTTTTGGTTGGTGCCCTTTTAAATATGGAGAGCGATAAGCAGCATTTTCGACATATCTTACTGTTTTACTACAGAAAGGGTAAAAATGCTGTTCAAGCCAGAAAGAAATTGACTGATGTGTATGGAGAAGGTGTGTTGACAGTACGCCAGTGCCAGAACTGGTTCGCTAAATTTCGATCCGGCAATTTTGATGTCGAAGATGCACCACGTTCGGGAAGGCCGGTTGAAGCTGATAAAGACGCGATAAAGGCATTAGTTGATGTGAACCGGCGAATAACAACACGTGAGATCGGATTGAGGTTAAATTTATCAAATTCAACAGTTTATGACCACTTGAAAGGCCTGGGATTATCCTCGAAGCTCGATGTATGGGTTCCCCATGTTCTCACAGAGAGAAATCTGTGTCGCCGCATTGACGTCTGCGATTCGCTTCTCAAACGTCACGAAAATGATCCGTTTTTGAAGCGCATCATCACTGGGGACGAAAAATGGGTTGTATACAACAACGTCAAACGCAAGAGGTCATGGAGCAAAAAAGATGAACCGGCTCAAACCATTTCCAAAGCCGATATTCACCAAAAAAAGGTGATGCTGTCTGTTTGGTGGGATTTTAAAGGAATCGTTTTTTTTGAGCTTTTACCGGATAACACAACGATTAATTCGGAAGTCTACTGTCATCAGCTGGACAAACTGAATGATGCACTTCAACAGAAAAGGTCAGAACTAATCAACAGGAAAGGTGTAGTGTTTCACCAAGACAACGCGAGACCTCACACAAGTTTGGTCACTCGCCAAAAGCTTTTACAGCTTGAATGGGATACAATGCTACACCCACCATATTCTCCAGACCTGGCACCATCGGATTATTATTTGTTCCGGTCACTCCAAAATTTTTTAGACGGTAAAACCTTCACCTCAAATGAGGAGGTCAAAAACCTCCTCGATCAGTTTTTTGCCAGCAAAGACCAAAAATTTTATGAGCGTGGAATTATGCTACTACCAGAAAGATGGCAAAAGGTGTTGGACCAGAACGGTCAATATATAATTTAATAAAGTATTTGTTTATTATACGAAAACTGTCTTTCATTTCCACAAAAAAAAAAAACGAAATGACTTTCCGAACAACCCTATAATAACTACTGAAGAACATTTTATAGGATCGTTGAGAGACAACTTGTCTGTTTTGCCCATCGATAGTTCCGCCACTGTACGTATACATGGAAACTTAATAGAAACGGTGACTGAACGCTTAGCTAGCTGGTTGTTGAAATGCCAACAAATTGTCACGGGAAGGTGTCGATCTTTTCCGATACCTGAGTCTCATACGTTCGATCTCATGTTACACAAGACGTGGCAAGGAGTGATACGAAGTGTCATAATTGCATTACAACGTAAGTGCGCATATAATTACCTAATGCGTGTTCTAGTGTATGTACATGTGAATTCAAAAGTAAAGGATCAGTTACGGTTTCACGGTATCGCATGTTCTGTCATCAATGAGGTGAACAACTAAATACGACACGATACACATTCACCGCAAATATGAGGATGACTGTAAAGGTGCATCTAGACTAAGCGAAATATTTCTCGTTTATCTTAGAACGATTAAAAGGGTTACAACGAGGATTAGCTTTATTTTACATTTATTGTTTGTAAGACTAAAAGGGTTAGAAATTATCAAAACTGAAACCAATAATTTCGATATCTTAGCAGTCGAAAAGAAACCTGTTCGATTCCGAATTTCTATGGATCATCTAGGCATATACTGAAGCAGAAGAGTCTTCATTTCTCTCCAACCACCACCACCACCATCCGCCCATTCCTAATATACCTGAAGGGAAACTAAAGATAGGTTTCCGCCGTACCCTCCGGCTTTGCACTGCGGTGCAGTTTTTTTTATTTGCAGACAAACACTTCTAATTAATGTTTTTTATTAATCGGACCTTTTCAGCATTGAAAATTAAGCTTAATATTACAGTGTAAACTCTTTATAACGTCACTCGATTTAACGACAAACTTCTTAGAACGTCGAAATTGCTTGACTTTGGTTGGTTTTCATTGTTTTCTATACAATATTACACTCTATATAGCGTCACGCTCACTCTATTTAACGACAAAAATGCGGCATTATAAATCTTTGAGCAGTACTTTCTAAGTTGCCGAAATAGATAAGAACTGCAGCTGTGTACGTTGTTGAAGAAGACGATCCTGTCCCTCCACCAAGCATCAAACAAGCACTTGATGCAGCGAAACTATTAAAAAAATACTTTTTATATAATCAAATTGATCCAGCAGTATCTCAAGATATGAGTAAGATACGTAACAAAGTACAATTAAAATATTGGAGCAGCAAAAAACGTCAGACGAAGATAACAGGCTATACGCAATGTATGAATAATAATGTTCGTGTGCAAAATGTGTACTAATTAGTAAATGCACATTATTATAGAATAGTAAAATAATATCTTTTATTTCTCTCCATTTAACGACCACTCTTTATAACGCCGAAAAATGTTCAGTCCCTGAAGTGTCGTTATATAGAGTTTACACTGTAATTGGTTGGTTATGTAACTTGTGTGACGTTCTGTAAATGTGTCACGGGAGTTTCTGAACCAATGTTACGGCAATAATAACATGATGCGGTAGTTTTTTATAAGAGCACACCGCGATACATAGTATAAACTACCCAAGGGCGTTAAAAAAGAATTCTGCGGTCTATAAGGACGAAGGAAAAAAAAAATGGAGAAGACTATCATGTAAGTAAGTAACATCGAAACTGGTTAGTCACTCGCTTGTCGTCGATCTTTTATCGCGTCCATCATCTTCGGTTGCTTCACGCTGATGATTAATATGTACCCGTGAGGCCATTAGAGCCCAGGTTCTTGTCAATAGAAACGATCTTAATTTTATTTATCAAAACTGCAATTGATCGAAATTGTCAATGGCTTTTTTTACATGCTCCTTCAACGAGCCCTGCCTCAAAGAAACGTCAACTTAATTGTTAACAGCAACACTAATTATAAATAAAACAAATGAAGGTAGGGTTAGAGGTAATATCAAAATGGGAGACGAGAAGAAACGGGGAAAAGTTTTTTTTATCCTTGGACCATGGAAATGTGAACGTTGGGTCAAACGTAAAAGTTAGAAGCTATTGATTACGAGATGTGGTGCTATGCCACCGATAGAAGAGGTTACAAATCAGGTCGTATTTGGGAAAGTAGAAGTCAATAAGGAAAAGGAGAGATAGGATGGTTGAAGGACAGCTTTTGAGACAT